ATTTCAATTCCAATTGTTATTTTAGTCATGCACGGAATAAAATAAAATAAAAATAAATAAATAAATAACTCATACATATACTTCAACTATCAGACACTTTAATAAGGATAAGAAATCAATTTATAGAAATCAATTTACAGGTTCAAAAATCGATTATGCAAACCAAAATAAATTGATTAACTGATCCATCATACAAATCCATTATGCACCCACGATTCCAAAATAAATTTAATTATTTAATTTTAATTTTAATTCATATATATATTATTTATGCAAACTTTAGTGGAAAATAACGAGTTCCTAAACCATAAGCTCTGATACCATATGTAAACTTTAATAATTCGTATTAAGCCATTAATCACAAATTTACATCTATATCTTAGAACTTCATGATTTTTACATATCTATAATGCATAAATAAATGGTTATATATAAATACTTCGATTCATGATATCAAACCTTGTTGAGATTAAATCTAACGTCTAGATCCTTTAACTACGAACTAATCTGCAATTCTGATCAACAGGCAAAGGTAAAAACTGGTTCTCTCTCTTGGCCTTTTGTACACATTAAAACTTTTACGTGTTGTATCATTAATCGTACATAATTAATGGAGTATGTGCACTTTTATAAAGACAGAGAGATGACCAGTTTTCCTTTTAGCAACATAATTCTACTTTCCAACAAAATAAGGAATAAGAAAGGAAAACATTTCTCCAATAAGTAATTACCAAAAAGGTAATTATAAGTTGACCAAAAATAAATAATATTAATTAATATCTATTTACTTAGTCACTAAATAATATGTCACATGTCCAAATCACGTGGGTCACAATTAAATAAATAATGTTACAGAAATCACCACATATAATTTTCAATTTATTACTCTTAATTTTTTTTTAAATAATTAATTTTTAAAAAGATTGGTAATTTTAAAAGATAGCAGGAATTATGTAAAAGGAGGTAATAGAATAATCTACTAGAACAGTAAAACCTATAATTGATCTATATATGGGTGAATGTTGTTTAAATACCGATCCTCACCGTCATTGGAAAGTGACAGAGATAAATATATGAATTTAAAAAGCAGATGTAATGATTAGAGTAGCAGTCCTACCCGCTCCGGATCATCGTGAATTATAGACATGTTTAATTTGTAATTTTGAAAATAGTTCTTAAGCATTAAGAGAATTACAAAAAACAATTTTGAGAGAACAATAAAATAGAATTTTAAAAAAAAAAAAAAAAACATTTTTATAACTTAATTTTCAAATAAAAAATTTCAGAAAATTACTAAACAGAATTTTTTGTACAATTTTCTATTTTTAATTTTTTAAAAACAAAAAATTATTTTTAAAATTACAAACTGGTTCTATATCTTTAGAGTTCAACATTATAGTGTCAGTTGTTTATCTCTTTAACTTTTTTTGTTTCTATTTATGGTGTGAGAATGAATACAACAACAGGTGGACTTAACTCTCTCACTCTCAAATTGATATCACACTGAATTAATTTACATATATTCGTATTCATATCACACCGAATTAATTTACATATATAGAAATGTAACTGAATTTTTTTATATCTTTATAACATTAACTGTTAGGTTAGGGTAACTCAGAACATGTGTTTGTTTTGAATATTTATAGGTGACTCCACCATCTTACTTCCTCCAGAATTTTTTATTCTCACAAAAATGTACCATTATTTGTTATTTTTTCATTTCTAAATAGTACATCATGAGATATTCTAACACAAAAAAAAAAAAAAATAGATTAATTCTTCCAAACCTTTTAAATCATTTTTCAAAAAAATTCTTAGGAAGATTCTTAAACAGGTATCAAAATTGATGTACTCCTCCTTGATAGATATTTTCCGAGTCTCGGTACTTGAAACTTTTCGAATAGTGATGCTTCAATGAAGATATTAACTTCTTCTTTTTTCCCTGGCAAACAAAAACCACCATACTACAACATGGTTACAGAAAACACCCTTGACTACCTCAAGATGTGCTGAACAAAAAATTTGAACGTACATATCAAACTACTGTGTCGACCATAGCAGTCTCAGCATGTTCAATCCACTCTGTCGTAAAAGCAAGTTGTTGTTCCCACTTTAGACCCCTTAAAGAACACAGCCTTATGATCTCGAAACACAGCCTCTCCTCCTTGAGCCAGATCTTGCTTCGGAAGAACGACATCCACCACCTTCCAGGACACCATTCCAATCCAAGGGGGATTCCAAACGTTAGACAGTTCAAGCGGTGGTTGCGAAAGCCCTCCAGGAATTGTCGCATAATGGACTGGAGAGACGAAGATATTAATACTTGTTCATTGGTATTGCAATACTTAAACACAATCTCTTCATTAGCTTCAACTTCCCATAGGATTGAAGTATCCTTAAATTGCAATTTTTTTTGCTGTAACACACAAAATTTATTGGTTCTTCGCCATTACTATTTTCGACTTCTTGTCATAATATACCTTTGTAGGTTCCTCCTGTTGCTCCCTATGTATTCAAGCGTCCTTTGAAGCTATATTGTTTGACATGCTACACTAGTTACAACTACGTACTTAACTTTAGCAAATGATTGGCCGACTATATCTTTAAAGCCAAGTGTAAAAGTGTATCCTGACATGTTATTTATCTCGTTGATTGATTCTGTGAGTTGCGCGGAAGTCTAGAGGAGAGTGAAGATGTTTTACTTGTTCTTTTATTTGATTTTTACTTATTTGAATTTTTTTAAAATCAAATTAAAATCAAATTTACAAAGTAAAAATAAAGTATAAGTAAAGTAAATAAAGTTTGATAGATGACACTGAATTATTGTGCATGGAAACTCTAGTTGAAAAAAAAATTCGACCAGCCAAGATGAAAATCATAAAGACTTTCGCCGTCTCAATTGAAACAATCTACTATCTTCGAAACAAAGTACAACAGACTCTAACTCAGGCTCACACCCACATTAATCTACCAAGATCTAGTTGTTGAACAATCTAGACTTACTCTCATGACTCCGTGTCTGATTGCTATCGACTCTAGACTTACTCCTCAATTCTTGTAGAAAGGTTGTTGATAGCTCACGAACATTTCTTGTAGCTTGATCTATTATTCCTTTTCTTCAAATTTTAATTGATGAAGACAAATAGAGACCTTGTTTTTCTGAACATAATTGATTGAGTTTTCAGTATGTCTTAACTCTAATCATATTGAGAACATCACCCCAATATCAATCTCGTGTAATAGTTTGTACTCTCAAGTATATTAGAATATATAAAACAATCAAGGTGATTTTATGTAGAAAAATACTCTCAAACAATTCTTTCAATTAGAAAAATATTAATCTTCAAGCCCTAAAGATTTTGGAGAGAGAGAGTTTATATATACTTTGAGAACCCTTACAAAAGGTAAAAAAAAATAGCTTTCAAAATGGTACAAGGATTGATCTACAAATTTAGGTAAAAATATGAAACTAAAATGTTACAAAGAATTGATTTTTTGCACATTCAATAAGTGCAACTGGTTGGACGGTTGAGTGCAACCGATTCTACTTATTCTGAGAGCTTATTTTGTGCAGAAAGTGCAACTAGTTTGACTTTAAAATGCAACTGGTTAAACTTTGTTGAATGTTATTTCCAATGTCAGCTCTCATACCCAACTTTTAATCAAGTGTTCCTCACTCAAATACCTGTTCTAAATGATGTTCTCATTGATCCGAAGTATGCACTTGTTATTCCGTTTCCGACATCGAAAGTCAAAAGTAAATAGAAAATTACAAATCGATTAAATATTTTTTGACACCAAAATTTGCCAATTACAAAATTTATATATCACATATCCAACCCATTCAAGAATTTAATTCATTTAAAAAAATACAAGGGCTTTTACATCACTATACTTACTTGATGTAAGGCCATGGATCAGATTTTGATCTGAATCTCATCTAATAACTAGAATATGGATTGAATAATGAAAAAATGATGAAACATGTTGTTTGGCAATTTCACATATGTATTAGTATGGTGGATTTTCTTTTTTTGTTTTCCATGATCCAATATATAAAGAATGTCATGGTGTGCACCGAGTACCCAATATCTACTCCTCGGAAAAGTTTGTCATGGGTAGGGGGATCTACTTATGTGTGTTCCAAATCAATTCACAAACATATTTTTTCTTGAAAATTCTGCGTTTTTTCATTATCTACTCCTCCGAGAGCTAGGTATAGGTTTTGTATCTTTATATCCTTGGCGTCACTGCCCAACACTAGTGCCACAAACATGGCTCAAGTAGTAAGAAACTCCAGTACTGAAGAGATTGACAGCTTCCACCACCAACAAAAATGGAACTAGTACAATAACCGAGTCAATTCAAGACCACCACGCATATGAAGAGCGAGCTCTGGGTCCCCTCATCGACGGAGTAGTTTGGCATCACAAGCACTACTACGAAGCCAAGTCTCTGCTCAAAGACCCGGTTACAACTCGAGTCTCGACTCCATGACATGCTCCGGGTGCTCTCGACAGGTGACGGACTGAGTCAACTCAGCCGGCTCGTTGAGCTGCATGGGAAAACCCTAAGGGAGGAGAGCCACGAAGATGGCGAAACAATTACAAGAGACCAAAGCCGACTCATCCATGGGTGGTGAGTTGCCTAACACGTTGTCCGAGTTGATGAGTCAGGACCGAGTTAGATGGACACGGGCCAGCAAGAAGGCAGGACTAGAGCAGTAGTTACATATGGCGGATGATCTATGGCTGAGAACGCTCGAAGCGGTGATTGTTATTTTGACTCCAATCCAGGCCGTCCATTTTTTGAATCAAGGAAAAGAATTACAAGCCCCTTACTTTCCAAACTTGGTTTAACATCAATCAGCAAGTTCTCATGGTAGAAACACTTTTGCATAATAACATTGTTGAAACTCCATTTCAGAAGAAGATTATATGACAAAACCAAAAAACCTGGAAATAACAAACACGTCCATGCCATTTCCCCCTTCTTCCTAGAAAAAAAAAATGGAAAAAGAAAAAAGAAGTAAAAAAGAAACAAAAAAAAAAATGGGCATTACATTTTCTGGCACAAAAGAAAGAATCTGTACAACAAAGTTTGTATGGCTTGTGGAGTTGTGGGTAATGCAAGATTGCAAGAAATGCACCCTCAACCGACATGTCATGGTAATTCAGATGGCAGATACTTTCAGTTTTAAAACTCACAACAAATCTATTGAATTCTTCATTTCTCACCAAAATGACACAATTGTTGGCATCTCCAGTGCTATCTAGCCCTACTCTACATCGAGAACGAACTTCTCAACCTCAACTACAAGGCATCTGTACAACAGAGTTTGTATGGCTTGTGGAGTTGTGGGTAATCCAGAAGACCAGAAGATTGCAAGAAATGCACCCTCAACCGACATGTCATGGTAATTCAGATGGCAGATACTTTCAGTTTTAAAACTCACAACACATCTATTGAATTCTTCATTTCTCACCAAAATGACACCATTGTTGGCATCTCCAGTGCTATCTAGCCTTACTCTACATCGAGAACCAACTTCTCAACAACTACAAGGCTTGGCAAGATAAGCTTATAGGACCTATTTGCAACTATTTTTACAAATAATGGCTTAAATTTGTGCACGTTTCTTCATCTCTTAATTTTGCCAGAGCTTTCCTCTCTATCTTCCTTATCCACTCTTTGCTCACATGGAAAAGCTTCCCGATTTCCTCAAGTGACTTGCGCTGATGGTCCCTAAGTCCGAATCTTAGAACCAACACTCGCCTCTCTCTTGGATCCAGGCCTCTCAGAAGATTGTGCATGTCTTTTAGCATGTGCTGCCTCATGACAGTTTCTTCGGGGGTCATTACTGATGTATCTGGTGTAAATTCCTGCATCGGAAATGTGACACTTGCTGAACTTAAATAAACCATCTTGGTGTTTCATATGAGTGGTAATTTGAGAAAAATGCGCCTAAAAAGATAATGTTGGAGAAAAAAGAATCAGTCATACCAAAAACTTTGCACTGACATTGTCCCCCACCTTCTGATCAATTGAACCCACGACTCTCAAGCATTTGCTAGCTGATGTGATTTTAGCCAAGGACAGACCTGTGAACTTTGCGATTTCATCATCGTCTGGGTATTTCCCGTGGCTGTAGTTAAGGGTTTTTCGAGCTTTCTGTATCTGATTTATTGCCTTGCTTAACGTGAACTACATAAAAGTTCATACATAAGACTTTGCAGAAAGCAGGCTCTATTTCTCACTCATGAAATTTGAATGTAGAAATATCTCATAAAGAAGGGAAGTACATTACAGGAATTCGAATTCCTCGAGCATGCTGTGCCACCAGCGTCGACATTGATTTCCTTATCCAATACTGAACATAAGTTGAAAATTTGTATCCCCTAGTGTGGTCGAACCTTTCTGCACCTTGCAGGACACCAGACTTCCCTGCCTGTGAAATATGCCGAATATGAACATCTATATTTTGTGTGGATACAAATATTTGCATAAGAAAATACTATGGGGAACCACCAAGGGTTGTAGGCTTGTAGCTAGTGGTACTTCCTCACCTTCTAAAGTAGAAGACTGAGGGTTCAGGTCCCCATAAAAGCAGATGTGAGAGTTTCAAATAGGAATATAAAAAAATAAAAAAACTACGGGGTATACACCCACTATTTTAAATAAATACTTTCTCTAATCATTTCCGTGCAATTTTTAGCAATAATCAATTACAGATCACTGTCTAGTTAATTGATTGTCTTCAGGGGTATATATATCTCCAAAAGATAAGTGTTGCAGAAGCAAAGACCAATAAAAATACAGCTAACCCATGCCTACTAACTCCCCCTCCTCTTCAGTTCCTAATAGCTCCTAAACTGTTCCCACTCCCTTTTCCCCCATGACATTGATTATAAAATGTTCCCAACATAATGACAGAGCTGAAAATTCAAGCAGACATTTTTCTTTTTGAGTAAGTGGCAGAGACAACTTTATTACTTGACGTGTATTAACTTTTGCCAATTGCCAAAATTTCAGTGTCTCTTTTCATCCATCCTAGATCTAAAATAAAGTTATTAAACCATATGTTAGGGTCTTGAGCCCCCCACGACACCTGTTTATTTAGCAGCAAACATATTTCTAGTGAACAATGGGGGATATCTAGTCCTTCACCCACCTGAGGTGCAGGAGAGGCTCATATACTAGACATTTTGACCAGTTTACAATGGTATGGGGTGCCATTCTGGGGAAAGGGGGTGAGAGATAAAGAGGTGAAGAAGGTAAAACCAGACAGACCTCTATGAAAATGTGCTAATCAGGACTGTTTTTCTTAGTTTCTCTGAATCTTGTAATATGCAATCTTAAGATATCTGAAAATATTTTATGCATCTGAATTTTCATTATTGACACAGAGTGTAACACCTCAGAAAATGCTACCAAAAGGTGACATGCATATATGTGTTATATGGACTCTTCAAAGTAGGTGAAGTACTCATGTCAGACACATAATACTCGGACGTGGGTATGGAAAATGTGTTTGACACTTTTGGTTGGACGTGCACCTAAAAATCATATCCCATGTTATATTATTGCTTCAAAATGAGTTAAGTGTCTATATTGAACACTGTGTTACAAAAAGACATTTTGTTACCCTAGAAAATAAAATAAACTACTAAATAATACTAATATTTACCAGTGTCCATATGTCCTCCTATTTGTGAATTTGATACATCCGACATGTGGATACACACATACTTGCACCCGACACGCACACCCAAGTCCATGTAACTAGGTATGTCATATTGCTCTGAAAATATTTTTAAGCCCCAAACAATTGGCAGCCTATTTTATTAACACACTAATTCACTAATAACCAAAATTGCGTATATAATCATGATTTATTTGCAAAATTAAAGAATTACTTCAGAATGACAGCAAAAGCTTCTTTTTCCTGAAGATAGATCTGATCAACTTCAACCCCAATCATATTTCTTTTTTCCTTTTGTTTCTTAATCATTGAATTAGTCTTTTTTTTCACAGGTCAATTTGGTAAATTATTCATATTCCTTCACAGTTATGATTCAAATTGTTTTGCATTCTTTCTAGTAAATCCATGATCAATCTCTAACCCTGAATTTAAAGAAAGCTACCTCTGAATCCAGAGTCAGTCACCATAGTCAGACAGAATCCAAAGATGGAACACATGCATGACATCTAGTGTGATATCGATTGAGTAATCCATTTAATAAAACAAAAAAAGAAAAAGGAACACAAACTAACAAATAGGAACTCGTTTGACCAACCTGTATTAGATCTTCGAAGGCCACTCCCAATCCGCTGTAGTTTCTTGCAAGGTATAAAACTAAGGACCGTGAACTTTTAATAAGCTCGTCCATGCAATACCAACCAAAATGCAACTGCTGCTGCAGTTCCTTCTTGTCAACTCCAGCAGCTTCTGCCCAGCTACTCAAGCTTGCTACTTGCCCAGTTTCTTGTTCCAATATCGTTCTGATCCTTTCCAAGTCAGTAACCAACTGTGATAATATAAAGTATCACATTCAGTAACATTCTTGAAGTATGGAAAAAAGAAAAGATTTTCAATTCAAGAGAAAGTGGAGACAACCTTGACCCCTCTTGACATTTCCGCCTCATTCCTAACCATTTTCAGTCTCCTACCTTTAGATTTTGATGGTCTTCTAGAAGAAGAAACCTTAGACTTTTGAGGGTCCTTGTGAATGGTTTTTGAAGGTAATGCCAATGCTGACACGAAATTGGCCTTTTCTGATGCTCTCTCTCTTCTTGATTTTCTTTCTTCCTTTTTGCCAGAGCGAACAACAATCTTACCCAAGTGATGATCATCCACTATGCCATTCAGGCGGTGCTCGTCAACAAGCTCAGTTGGCGCGTCAGATAGGTCAAAAAAATTTGGGGTTTTGAGGGTCCTGACTAGACAGGCATGGAATAATTTTAAAGCTCCAAGCCTTTCTAATTGTATGAGAATATCATTTTCCAACCTTAACACATCTGAACTAGAAAACATCTCCTCTAAAATATTTAGATTTTTCATTAATAAACTGTAATGCGATATTTCTTTAGCTTGTAAGCTTGTAAGATATGCCAATTTATTTTCTCCAGACGGTATATGAACATGGGACCTCTTGCCAACATTTACCTGAATGACCAGAGCTAACCGTAAGTTTCCACGTGTTAAAACAGGTAAGAGCTCAACAAACTGATCTTCAAAGGTAGTGTTTTATTGAACAAAAAGTTAAAACAGTAACAAACCTTCATTCTCTCTGTTTCCAGGCAATAATTTTCTAAGGTTTGTGAAGCAGATGTACGAGTAGGTGATTCCATAAGATCATTGTATGAAGCCTCACTTTCCCAAGAAACAACAGATGGGAATGACATCTTTGCCAAGTCATAAGAAGACTCCCTGCCCCTAACTGTACCATTTAAAACTCAACGGTAAATTAATAAAATATAGCCAGTAAACTAAACAAACACAACACAGGCTAATGATAATTTTTGCGCACACAAATCCAATATATGGATTACTGAACATATGAGAATAACAAATCAGAACAGTGAAACACGGCGGAAAAGAAAAACTGACAATACATGCTACAATAAAAATATGAAGACATCATAATTCAAAAAACCAATTCAATTGGAATATTAATTAAATAGATTTTCAAACACTTACAAGAAACCACATCTAATTATATTTAAGGTGATAGGTTGAAGGTTCCAATTAGGCTGAATTGATTCGTAACCCTACCAATTTGTTGGAACTAAATTCCTCTGAATAACTCAAAACTACACCATCTCGGGTCAGATTATCGAGTTAATAGGAAATTTAAAATATTTTGCAAGAGCACAAAAACTAAAGACCTCTTGGAAATTTATGACAATGAACTAATAGTGATGAATGATCATAAAAATTCGGTGCCCACATTGGCTATGGGAACTTCACACATTTTGAGCGTCCATGTAATATAGGTAAAATGTGTGGGACTCAAAGATAACATGTAAGTAAGAGAACATGCAAAGTACAACAAGCAAATAGTGCTTATGTGGAAGTATTTGACACTTAATACTAAACATACAAATAAAAAGCATTTAATCGTGGTAGTTCAGAATGGCATTATAAGACAAACTCGACCTCCATGTAAGCCATTACCCAATGTTCTCTATATTTTTGTTACGTAGGACGCACAACATTAACTCACATTCACCCATTATCGCCTTGAGAAGGACTTGAACCCTCAATATCCCATTTGAGAGGAGGAGTCGTCACTCGAGTTAAATTCTCATTAGCCATTACTCAATGTTGGTCTCGCTGTTTAAATAAGAAAGAAAAAAAAATTTGGTCCCGCCAACATAGCATGTTGGGAGGTAGATGGGGTATGGGACTAAATCTATGCATAATTCACACAAGTAAAATGTACTCACACACTTGAAAACCAAGACTCTACTATTGAACCAAGCAATGCAGATTTCTCGACTCCGTGCAGGATTATTAGTAGGAGAATGCACCCTAATTAGATTTTTTTTCTAAACGCCCACAACTACTATTATATTTCTTGGGTCTTCTCTAATTTATACCATGTCAAAGCTCATGCAACTCTAAAGCTTCCAGCAACTATAGTAAAATCAAGTAATGCATTCAAGGAACATTTCTTTGCTTGCCATAAACTTTTTAATCTCAAATAATGTCTAGGAATCAATTTACAATCTTTCAATTAAATCATAACACATATATGTAGAATAGGAGTTTTCATATAAAAAAAAAATTAAAAAATTAAAAAATTAAAAAAATTAAAAAATAAAAAATATCAAATTAGCAACAATAATTTCTCGTGGAAAGAAAAAAATAAAGTTCTGACAGACACCCAAATCAGGATTAAAATGATTAGCACAAGCATCAGCTAGTAACATGGCAATTAATTGGACATTAATCAAAACACTATAATACATACATACACATATATATATATATATGTATATAGAGAGAGAGGGGGAGAGAGAGAGAGAGAGAGAGAATAAGATGAATTGGGAAGTGAGGAACTTACAGGAGTATGAGGAGGAAGGCCATGACGATGAATTGGTGAAGGAAGGGGAGTGAATTGCAAAACCCCATTTCAGATTTAGCCTGAAACCAGTGCCCATTAGGTTTGTTGGAGCAGAGCACAGCAAGGATAGGAACAGTGCCCATCAAATGTTCATGAAGAGGGTTGAATTTGAAAGCGCGAGAAGGTGATGATAGTTTCGCATAATTGAATACTCCATCTATATTGGTGTTGTCTGCTCTCAACCACTGGTTCCCCATCTAAGCCAAAGCCTCAACACCCCTCACTCTCACTCTATTCCCAGAAAATATCTCCTTTTTTGGGTTAGTCAAAGAAAATATCTCTTCCGACTTCCAACCAACAAAATAATAATAAAACAAAAATATGAATTCTATAATCGATTTAAAATTCATTTAGAATTTGGATAAATTTAAAGAAATCCATTTATTGGACAGTTGAATTTGAATAGAAAACCATTCTAATATCTTTATTAGTTTAATTAGAAATTCTCCCTGGTTTTTATAGAAATTTGATGTGAAATTTGAGAAAAACTATGCCTATCCTCATCGCATCTAGCATGCGTGTGAAAATTTAATTTATCTCATTACACTTTTTGTGAGCTCGATGTATAATTATTTTAAAGAATATTATATAAAAATTATATAGTCATAATTTCATACCAAAATTTATTTATAGTAAACCACACAAATGAGTCTAACTTTTACATATTTTTTTCTTTTAACTAAATTACACTATTAGTTTTGACCACACTGCATAATTTTATTTTGTTGTATTTTAAACTGATTTTTTTTTATAGTTAAATCACTTCAATATTGACACTACGGTGATATAATTTATGCATGATTTATATTGTCTAAGGTCATTGTTAAGGCTGTGATGTTGGATGGGCTTTCATCTCTTTTAATTAGCCCTTGGTAGAAGATATTAGTGGCTTCATCGTCACCCTGATTTTGATTTGGTGCATATGCTTAGAGCAGAGAATGAGGTTGCGCATGCAGTTGCCACTTATACTTTAAAAGAAAAAAATACATGTTTATGGGATGATAATTTCCCATTGTTTGTTTTGCATAAAGCTCGTTTTGATGTAATTTCTGATTCTAATCAATAAATATATTTTTCTCAGAATTTTTTTTTTTTTTTTTTTTATCTTTAGGTGTGTGACTTTATCTAGCTCAAGATTGAGATCAAATCCATCTAGGAATGACAATGGGGCGGTGTAGGTGCAAAATTTCGCCCAACCAATAATGATTGAGAAAAATAAAACAACTCACTCAAAAACAATAAAAATAAATAAGAACAGTGTGTAGAGAAGCGTAGAATTGCTTGATCCTTTATTGGAGGTCTTAGCCTCTATTTATATACAAAAGATTGCAAAATTATGGTAGGACTCGCGTTGCTTGCCCTCCAATTCTTTCTATATAACCATTCTTTTCTAATAGAGTTCTTTCCATTTCCGAATCTTCCATACATAGAAATTGCCTTGTACAGAACTTCCTATCCGAATTTTCCTTCTACAGTAAATCCTTCAAATGGTAGGATTTGTGCATTCTTGGGCTGAATATATTTTGATCCGGCTGGGCTTGGGTAACAAGCCGGATGTTAAATACTCATACGCTGGGCTGACGACAAGCTGGGCTGATGACTTCTTGATTCGGCCTTGATGGACGTTGGAGGATAAATAACAATGGTCTTGGGCAGTAAATACCCTCAATTTGGTCTTGAGCATGATGGGCCTTATATGTCCTTGGAATGTAGATATGGGTAGTGGTGACGTGTGCGCTTTTTATTGGAGGGAGTTTTTTTCCCTCCACACTTTGCCCCAAATTCCATTTTTAATTGAGTGACGGCTCCTATTAAAGAGGGAATTGAAACCGGTTTTTACTTCGCTTCAGAAACGGTTCGTGGTCTTTCGTTATTACTCCGTCACACAAGATTTTGCAAGAGTTACATTTGCCCTTGCTGCACTTCTGCGTCCTTCATTCCATCGCTTCCTTCGCTTTGTCAGGTTAGTCCGCATCTTTCTCTTCAATCTTTCATTATGAGTACTTCATCTACTCCCGAACGTGCAAACCTTGGGGATTCTGAATCCACACCTTCATCTTCCCCCGTTCGCATTAGGGCTCCCCCTCCTAGGGTTTCTACAGATCGCCCTTCGTTGAATCCATTAGGTACTTCCCCTCTCCCAACCGAAACATCCTCCTCAGGCTCTGATTATGTTCTTACCCATGAAGAGAAGAAAGCAATCATCTCTATTCGCCGCATCAAGTTCTCTATTGCTTCGGTAATGGAAGAATTTGATATTCCTGAGGGAGTAGAAATTGCAGAATATCCCGAGGGTGCCGATTTCACCTCCGGCGAGGGAATTGAGGAGGATGAGTTGCTTCTTTCGGTAGGGCACCTTAACGCCCTCCGATTCCCTCTTCATCCCTTCTATCATTTAGTTTTCAATAAGCTAGGTCTTGCCCCCCTTCAGGTAAATCCTAATTTCTTTCGCATTCTTTCGGCACTGTTGGTGCGCCGAAAATTAGAGGCTCTAGATTTGACCCTTGCCGACCTTCTGCTTACTTACAATATATCTAAGCATGGGACCGAGCCTGGTCGCTTCTTTTTTACTTCTCCCCTTCATCAGAGGATATGCACGAACCTCCCTTCATCCGAAAAGAAATGGAAAGAAATGATGGTTATAGTTAAAGGAAAATGGTTCGTGTCCCAATCAATTGCGCTCCCTATCCCGCGCAAATTCGGGAAATTAGGTATAGAATATTTAACCTCCCTTCATACCAAGTGTTCTGACTGTTTTCCTTGCCAAGTCTTAATATTTCGTCGTATTTATGAGTTTCTTGGTGTTTTTTCAGCTACATTCCCATCCTCCGCAGCAAGGAACAGACTTTCTTTTCTTGAGGAACGAGTCTGGAGTGACCCCTCGCCTATCGAGGACCTGCTAACTTCTTCAAACCTCAAGGACATTGCCTCCAGTGCCGTTGCTGCAGACCTCATGGATCTGTCTCTACTATCCTTTGACAGTTTCCCCATGATTGAGGATGAGATACAGAGGGCTGAGGCTTTAAAAAAGAAAGCCGAAGATGCCCAACCCTTGGTCGTCATGGGATCAACTGAGGATGAAGTGGAGATTGAGGAACCACCATTGAAGAAATCTCGCCTCAACCCCTCATCCTCTGGCAAGGGCAAGGTCCCTTCTAAAAGCAGAGGGAAAAAGGCTGGAGAGGCCGAACCTGAAGATGAAGTCAGGGCCTTTGTCTTGGCTGAGACTGGGGCTCCTTGGACTCCTTCCTTCACCATGGCTGACAGGTCAGTCCTGCACTCAGGGGATTCTGTGATTACAGACCCTTCAGCTGCACTGGCGGTGGCTCGAGGAATGTGGCTCCCAAAGGACGAGGAAGCCATCAGCCAAATGGGGGTGGAGCAACTACTCCCCTCTGCCCCAGTCCGGGCCATAGAGGTTCGCATTACTCCTTCAGCATTAAGTTACTCTTGCTTGCTTATGTTTCTCTTTATGCTTATATTTGTTTCTCTGTTAAACAGAGTCTATACCACACCATGGCCCTCTGCGCCACTGCTGAAGCTCAATCCCTCTCCATCAAGAAGTTGGAGAAGGATCTTGACAATGCAGAGAAGAGAGCCACTACTGCCTCTACCAATCTGAAGATAGCTTCTGAAGCCAAGGATGCGTACAAGAGGCAGTTGTCGGCCTCTGAGGCTAAGGTGGATTCTCTTCAGGCCGAGGTTCAACGCCTGACCGAGGCTCTTACTACTTGCTTCAAGGCGGGGAAGCAAATGCAGGGGCGCTACTCTTGTCTGGCGCACCTGGCTAGTGCTAAAGCGTTCCGGTCTGGCTACAATCAGGGCTCAGGCCCTAAGACGATGGATCCGGACACTTTTGACAAGAAAGTGGGGGTGCACTTCCCATACGATGAAAGGCCAGAGGCTTTGGAAGCTAAAATCCGCTTTGCCGAGATGGTGAAGGCGCACCTGAAGGGTACTCCTAGCTCCCCTACTCCTGCGGCTTCAACTCCTCCTACCTCAAGTCCTAATGTAGTGGATGCTTTTGAGTCTACTCCCTTCGATCCGAAGAGGAAGTAAAGCCATGTATTTTGTTTTTATGAACAGCCTGTTTTGGGATAATGAATATAATTTTTCGTTTTAGGCTTTGCCTGACTTGTTTTTGCTGTATGCTCTTGATACTGTTCATATTTCTCTGTCTGGTAATGTGTTTAAACACTAAACATTGTCTTTATGCTTCGGATTTATGCTATCTGTGAAAACGCAAGGATTGTGGGAAGAAAGAGATCCTTTTAATAGTTTAGTTGATATCGCAGGATGATTCATATGGACAATGATTTAACTGTTAAATGAACCCTCCTTGCCTTTTACTTGCCTGTGGTAGACGTATACATACTCTTTCCTTCTCATGTGTTCCTGATGTGAGGTGGAGTATGATGAACTTATGATATATCCGCATCCACAGGGTTTTAAACACTTGGAGTCTGGTGGAAAGAGTTCTGATCCGGGTACCAGAGGTCTAAAGCGAATTACTCCTTGGCACTGAGTGCAGAGGACTAGTACTGAATAGGACACTTAGGGTTCGAAGCTGTCTCGGATACTTAGGATCCGAGGCGAATTATCCATTCCCTGGCGTGGAGCCGGAGGGGGGGTTTCGCCGAGCCGAACACTTAGGGTCCGAGCTGAAATTTCGCCGAGCCGAACACTTCGGGTCCGAGGCGAGATTTTTGCTGAGCCAAATACATAGGGTCTGAAGAGAATGACCTACTCTCCGGCGCTGAGCCTGAGGGGAGGTTTAAATGAATCACTCCTCGGCGCTGAGCCAGAGGGGAGGTTTTGCCGAGCCGGACACTTAGGGTCCGAGGCGAGAGAACTACTCCCTGGCGCTGAGCCTGAGGGGAGGTTGTGCCGAACCGGACACTTAAGGTCTGAAGCGAATTAATTACTCCCCGGCGCTGAGCCTGAGGGGAGGTTTTGCCGAGCCGGACACTTAAAGTCCGAGGCGAATGAATTACTCCCCGGCGCTGAGCCTGAGGGGAGGTTGTGCCGAACCGGACACTTAAGGTCCGAGGCGAATGAATTACCCCCCGGCGCTGAGCCTGAGGGGAGGTTGTGCCGAACCGGACACTTAAAGTCCGAGGCGAATGAATTACTCCCCGGCGCTGAGCCTGAGGGGAGGTTTGTTTTATATTTTTCCTCAAACCACTTATCATGAGGCCGAGGACTCAAAAATGATAGGAG